TGGCCCCTACACGGACGGCCCCAGAGGCCGTCTAGACAGGCCGCGGCAAACGAAATCATTAATTCAATCGCTTCGTTCATTCCGCCGGCCCATGTTGCATGATCGCTACTGCTTCGCCGCGGGCCCAGGGCCATTGTGGCGCCGCCGAGGAGGAGGATGAAGATGAGGATGGGGAAGTGGAGGGGAGGAGGAGGAGGAGGAGAGGATGAGAAGGAGAGGAGGAGGATGAAGATAAGTAGGAGGAAGAGGAGGAGGAGGAGGAGGAGGAGGAGGAGGAAGGGGAAGGGGAAGGGGAAGGGGCGGAGGAGGAAGCCTCTCGTTGGCATCTTGTGTTGCTCTTGGGGCCAAACAGGGTCGTCGTCAAGATGATTATTTGGGAGGCCTCTTGGGGTCTTTTGAGAAGCCGTTCGGGGGCGCCTGGGAGGCATTTTTGAACTTCTGGGGCCTCTTTTAGGCCTCCTGGGGGCCTCCTGGGGCCTCTTGGGGGCCTCTTGGCGGCCTCTTGGCGGCCTCTTGGGGGCCTCTTGGGGGCCTCTTGGGGGCCTCTCGGAGCCTCCTGGGGCCCTCTTGGGGCGGAAGGTTCGAGTTGTCAGTTCGTGGTCCCCCTCTTGGGCCCCTCTTGGGGCCCTCTTGGGGCCGTCTTGGGCCGTCTTGGGCGCCTCTTGGGCCGTCTCGGGGCCCTCTTGGGGCCCTCTTGGAAGCCTCTTGGCCCGTCTTGGGGCGCTCTTGGGGGCCTCTTGGGCCGTCTTGGAGCATCGGATGGCCGAAAAGGCGACAAGGCCAAAATCCTTCCAAAACCATCGTAAAATTGATGATTTTGGCCTGTCGGGCCCTCTTGTGAAGCGTCTTGGAGGCCACTTGGAGGCCTCTTGGGCCGTCTTGGGGTCATCATCGGCGTCTTGGAGCGCTCTTTCGGCGTTACGGGGGCCTCTTGGACCGTCTGGGGGACCTCTTGGGGCCCTCTTGGACCGATTTGGAACCTTCTGGGGCTCCGAAAAAGAGTTCCGGCATCCTTGAACAGGACTTGCCGGGAGTCTGCCGGGGTACTTTTCATCCGGGGACCCCCAGGGCCCGCCCCGCGCGCGCGAACTAGAAAGATCGTTTACCGGCTACTGGAGATCTTAGCACGCCTCTGGCCCGTTGGGCCAGCGAATTTCTTGGTCATTGAAAGATTTCCTCGTTCTCGCCATTTCGATCCATGACCTGCCTAAGATGGCTGCTGGGACTCCCCCAAAGGCTCCAAGGCCGCCCAAGAGGATCTGGGAAAGGCCCCAAAACCACCCAGGAGGGCTCCAAGACGGCCCAGGAGGCGCCCACGATGGCCCACGAGCCGCCCAAGACGGCCCGACGACAGCCCGAGAGGAGCCCAAGACGACCCAAAAGTGAGGTGCCCAAGACGGCACCAAGTCACCCTCAAGACCCCATACGAGGCCCGAGGATACTTCCGGGCGGCCCCCACGAGAGCCCAAGAGGCTTCTAAACTGCTCCCAGAGAAGTAATGCGGACGATAGTTTTCAACGTTCTGGGGGCCTTGCATGCTTCTGTTCGGCGGGGCGTAGTCGTAGTACCCGCGAGTTCCCAACGAAGATCGAAAGGATGATGGCTTCAAGCCAGGACGAGGCTAGCTGGCCAGAGTCCACGGGCGAGTCCTAGAAACCTCAGAACGGCCCAAGACCTTCTTGTTGGAAGCTCCCCACTCCGCGGGAACTCTGGCTGACTGAGCCTTCAGCGGGTACCACGACGACAGCAGCCTCTCCGCTGGGCGTTCGTTGGTCGCCCTTCTTCCGCACCGCGCATAGGGGGGCCAGGAGGACAGGGAAAGGCTGGTTGAAAGGCAGGATGCTTCTCGGTCGCCATCGAAGGCGTTCTGCAAGCCCATTGGGGGTCATTGAAAAGCAGCCTGCCTCCTACGAAGCCTTCCTTCCTTCCTTCCCCTGTGCCCGTTTGTGCGCAGCCCACATGCCCGACATCGGGACGTCGCGAACGAGCGAAAGAATAGGACGCACATGCTGAACGCGGAACACGCTAGTTGATGTGGACGAATTCCACGGGTTCGCCCTCGTCAGCTACAACGCTGGGATCAGCGCGTGCGAGAAGGGCGAGCAGTGGCAGTGGGCGCTGGCGCTGCTGAGCGAGATGTGGGAGGCGAAGCTGGAGCCCAACGTCATCAGCTACAACGCTGGGATCAGCGCGTGCGAGAAGGGCGAGTCGTGGCAGCGGGCGCTGGCGCTGCTGAGCGAGATGCGGGAGGCGAAGCTGGAGACCGACGTCATCTCTACTCTATGGCGGACATCAGCGCGTGCCAGACAGGCAAAACAGCGCATGTGGGCCATTTTTCTACACCCCTCATGCAGATCCTGGCCCCCGAGCGTCACAAATCGAGCCCTCCGCCCAAAGACGCGCCGAAGTGGCCATAAGAGGCCCCAAGGAGCGCCCAAGAGGCCTTCAAGAGCCTCCCACAGTCCTCCAAAGCATGTCCAGACGGCCTCAGAGCACCCTTGGGAGCCCCAAGACAGCCCCATAGGCCCCCAAGGCAGGCCAGGAGGCCCCCAAGACGGCCCAGGAGGGCCTCCAGGAGGCCCAAATCGTCAGTCCCGACGAGGAGCGTACATTTTCAATATATCTTTCTTGTTCGTCCTCGCATGTCCAAGACGGCCATACAGGTCCCCAAGCTCGCCCCAAGACGCGCCCAGACGCCCCCCGAGGGTACCCAAACGGCCCCACACGGCCCCGGAACGGCTCCAGATGCGCCCGAGACGGCCCAAGACGCACCCAAGACAGCCCCAAGAGCAGTTAATAATGCCCAAGACGGCCCCACCGCCCCGTCTCCAAGACGATTGTAGAGGCCCCCACCGCCCCGTCTCCAAGCCTTTCCGTTTGGACAGTCTCCAAGACGGTCTCTGGGCCGTCCGCGACGGCTCTAGAGGCGCCCGAGACGGCTCAAGAAACACCAAAGACAGCCCAAAGAGCGCCCAATATTCGCCCAAGATGGCTCCAAGATTGTCCCAAGATGCCGAGAGGCGCCCAAGACGGCCCCACATCGCCCCCAGACGGCCCAAGACGCACTCAAGATTGCCCAAGAGGGCTCCAAGAGACCCCCAGGAGGACGAAAAGAAGCCCCCAAGCGGCCCCCAAGAGGCCTTGGATGCTTCTCTCTTGGGGAGCGTCGAACTTCAGTATCGTCTTGGGGCTTCGTGGACCCTCTGCGAGCCATCTCTGCGCCATTTGGGAACGTCTTGGGGCGGTGCGCTCGAAAGGTCGACTCGTGTCCTCGCACTGGGGCCCGTCTTAGGGAGTTCCGTCTCGCCGCCCTCTTGCGGGCTTCCTGGGCCACGCCCAGTGGCCCCATTGTCACCAGACTACCAGATACAATTATCATTCGGCCCCAGCGAAGAACAGATAACTTCTCGCGGCTACCCTCCCCGCAGAAACTATGATGAACACAGACTGCGGCGTCAGAAACAGCTTCTGTCCACACCGCGTCATGCCTACATGGGTGCGTTTCCACTGACACCGCCTCCACCACCGCGTTCCTGCCTTCAGGCCTGCTTGCCTGCATCCCTCGCTCACCTCCAGCCAGCGGCCACCTCCTCCATCCACGCCGTCCCCTCCAACCTCCCCTTACTCGCGAGTCCCCAGAGACGCTCCACTCCACGTCCAAGCCATGGCGGGCAAATTCCGCAGCCTGAAGGCCGCGGGTCAGCCCTAGTCTCTTCTCTATGCAGACATCAGCGCGTGCCAGACAGGCAAAACAGCACATGTGCATGAATGCGCCCCCATGGAGGGCCATTTGTCGACACCCCTCACGCAGATCCTGGCCCCCGAGCGTCACAAAGCGCGTCCCCAGACGGCCCGGGGAGCCCCAGCGCATGTGGATAAATGCGCCCCCTTGAAGGCCATTTTTCGACACCCCTCACGCAGATCCTGGCCCCCGAGCGTCACACATCGAGCCCTCCGCCCAAAGACGCGCCGAAGTGGCCATAAGAGGCCCCAAGGCACGCCTAAGAGGCCCCCTAGAGGCCCCCAACAAGGCCCAAGAGGCCTCCAAGGGCCTCCCACAGTCCTCCGAAACATGCCCCCAGATGCCAAAATCCTGTATTGCTCAATGGTTGTTGAACAAGTTTTTCCTTCTCGCCTTCTCGGTTAGCCGACGCTCCAAGACGGCCGAAGAGACCCACAAGACCGTCCCAGGACGGCCCAACAGGCCCCCAAGCACGCCCCCAGACGGCCCAGGGAGCCCCAAGATGGCCCAAGAGGCGCCCAAGACGGCCCGAGAGGACCCCAAGCCAGGCCCACGAGGTGGCCAAAGAACGGGGAAAAACCCTGACACTCCGAGCCCTGGGCCCCCTATACGCCCACACAAGGCCCCAAGAGCCCCCCAAAAAAACGCCAAGAGGTCCCCAGAGGCCCCCAAGAAGCCCAAAGCAAGCCCCACGAGGCCCCAAGACGGCCCCCAAGAGGCCCCAAAGCTGCCTCCAAGAGGGACCCCAGAGCCTCTGAGCCATTACCCAGGCACAGACACGGTGACGGATTTCCTAAACCGCGCCCTCTGGCCCCATTGTCACCAGACTACCAGATACAATTATCATTCGGCCCCAGCGAAGAACAGATAACTTCTCGCGGCTACCCTCCCCGCAGAAACTATGATGAACACAGACTGCGGCGTCAGAAACAGCTTCTGTCCACACCGCGTCATGCCTACATGGGTGTGCTTCCACTGGCACCGCCTCCACCACCGCGTTCCTGCCTTCAGGCCTGCTTGCATGCATCCCTCGCTCGCCTCCACCTCCAGCCAGCGGCCACCTCCTGATTCCACGCCGTCCCCTCCACCCTCCCCTTACCCGCGAGGCCCCAGAGACGCTCCACGTCCACATCCACGCCATGGCGGGCAGATTCCGCGGCTGGAAGGCCGCGCGTCAGCCCTAGTCAGCTACAGTGCTGGGATCAGCGCGTGCGAGAAGGGCGAGCAGTGGCAGCGGGCCCTGGCGCTGTTGACCGAGATGCGGGATGCGAAGCTGGAGCCCGACATCATCAGCTACAATGCTGGGATCAGCGCGTGCGAGCAGTGGCAGCGGGCCCTGGTGCTTCTGAGCGAGATGTGGGAGGCGAAGCTGGAGCGCAACGCAATCAGCTACAATGCTGGGATCAGCGCGTGCGAGAAGGGTGGGCAGTGGCAGCGGGCGCTGGCGCTGCTGAACGAGATGCGGGAGGCGAAGCTGAAGCCCAATGCCATCAGCTATAATGTTGGGATCAGCGCGTGCGAGAAGGGCGAGCAGTGGCAGTGGGCGCTGGCGCTGTTGAGCGAGATGAAAGAGGTGAAGCTGGAGCCCGACGTTATCAGCTACAGCGCTGGAGTCCACGCGTGCGAGAAGGGTGGGCAGTGGCAACAGGCTCTGAGCATTCTCAGAACCATGCGTCTGAGAAAGTTGGACGTTGGATTCACGGCCTACGGAACTACAGCCAGCATGTGCGAGCAACGCGGGCACTGGAGCCAAGTGTTGTTTTTATTGCGGGAGGTGCGTGACCTAGTTACAGGGGAATGATACAACACATGGCGTGTTCGATACATGTCCCTAGGTTTAGTTGCATCGCTGGGACCAGCTCGTGGGAGATGGGCGAGCAATGGCCGACGGCTGTGGCGCTGTAGAGCGAGGTGTGGGAGGCGAAGCAGCTGGAGCCCGAAGCCATCACCCACAGCGCTGGGAGCAACGCGTGCGAGAAGGGCGAGCAGTGGCAGCGGGCCCTGGCGTTGCTGAGGGAGATGGGGGAGGCGAAGCTGGAGCCCAACGTCATCAGCTTCAATGATGGGATCAGCGTATGCGAGAAGGGCGAGCAGTGGCAGCGGGCCCTGGTGCTGCTGAGCGCGATGCGGGAGTCGAAGCTGGAGCGCAACGCAATCTATATCCGAATGCCGGGGCAGCCGCGTGTCAGAATGGCGGGGGACACAGTGGGGCAAAACCGCCCTCGGGCTGGCTCCAGGCCGCCCCGGGCCGCCCAGAGAAGTTCGAAGACACGCCAAGACAGCCCCAAGAGGCCCAAGCCGGCCCGACAGGTCTCCAAGGTGCTCCGTGAGACCTCCCGGATGGGCCCCAGACGCTCAAGATTGGCCCAAGCCGGCCCAAGAGGTCTTCAAGGTGTTCGGAGAGACCTCCCGGCAAGCTTCCCCAGAGGGCCCCGAGCAGGACAAAACATTGATTGTCATTCCGTTGTGCATGGTTTTTGCGGTGCTCACCTTCTCGGCTTCCAGGCGATCCACGACCGCCCAAGACGTTCCCAAGACGGCTCCCAGACGGCCGTAAAGGGACCCAAAGGGAGCCCCAAGACAGGCCCAGAGGGCCCCAAGTCGGTTCAACAGGCCCCCAGATGTGCCACAGCCGCTCGAGAATGGCCCAACATTGGCCCAAGCTGGCCCGACAGATCTCCAAGGTTCTCCAAGAGACCTCCCCAGAAGCTTCCCCACAGGGCCCCGAGCAAGACAAATCCTAGATTTTCATTGTTTTTTGCACGGTGTTTGCCGTGCTCGCTTGGTCGGCTTTCACACGATCCACCGCCGCCCAAGGCGTTCCCAAGACGGCTCCAAGACGGCCGACGACCCCACATGGCCCCATGACGGCCCCAAAGGCGGCCAAGACGACTCCAGACGGCCCCAACACAGCCCCACAGGCACCCAATCCTGCCCCAGACAGAGCCCAGACGGCCCGAGAGGCAAAATTGTTAAATCAGTTGTTTCAATGTGTTTTTTTACAGTCTCTCTTTGTCGGCTTCCCGACGCTCGAAGACCGCCCAAGAGGCCCCCAAGACCGCTCCAAGACGACGGACGAGGCCTCCCAGACAGCCTAAGAGGGCCCCAAGACGGCCCACGAGCACCCCCAAAACGACCCATGACGGCCCGAAGAGGGCCCCACCAGGGGGGCCCCGAACTGACCTTTCGCACCCTCCGCTCCAGGATGATCCCAGACACCGCCAGCTGGCCCCCAAGAGGCCCCCCAGACGCCCCCGAAGGCGCCATAGTGCCAGAAGACAGCCCAGGATGGCCCAAAGAGGCCCTCAAGACGGGCCCCGTGAGGCGAAAATAATGAGTTTCCCGCGTGTTTTTGAAGGGTTTCAGAGGTTTCGCCTTTTCGGAGCCTTGACGCTCCAAGCTGGCCCCAGGGCCCCCGAGATCGCGCCACGATGGCCCAAGAGGCCCCCGAGAGAGCTCCCAGACACCCCAAGAGGGCCCCAAGACGGCCCAAGCCGGCCCCAGGAGTGCCTCACGAGGTGAAACTCCAACTGGCATTTCGCGCCCTCCGCTCCAGGATGATCCCAGAAACCGCCAGTTGCCCTCCAAGAATCCCCCCCGACGCCCTAGAAGGCCCCACAGTGCAGGAAGACGGCCCAAGAGGGCTCCAAGAGGCCCCCAAGAAGGGCTCCGAGACTCTAAAATGACAGTTTTTCTTTGAATGTTTGAAGGGTTTCAGCGTTTTCGTTTTTTCTGAGTCTCCACGCTCCCAGCCGGCCCCAGGGCCCCCAAGAGAGCTCCCAGACGGCCCAAGAGGGCCCCAAGACGGCCCACGAGCCCCCCAAGACGGCCCAAGACGGTCCCAAGAGGACCACACGAGGGGGAACTCGAACTGACATCTCGCGCCCTCCGCTCCATGATGATCCCAGACATCGCCAGCTGGCCCCCAGGAGGCCCCCCAGACGCCCCAGAAGGGCCCCGAAGAGGCCCACATCAGGCCCCCAGAGACCCTCGAGAGGCCAGAAGACACCCCCGAAGCAGCCTCCCAGAGGCTTCCGAGGATACCTCGGAGAGCTCGGGAATCGCGCCTGCCACCCAGGAAAATAAGGCGCCGGTGCGCCTCTTATGTTCTTCCCTCCTTTGCAAAGGCTCCAGACTGAGGTCGGGATCAAGCAGCAAGAAGCGACATAATTAAGCGACAATAACCGAAGAACGACAGAACGATAAGCCGCGAGTGGCAACACGCAGCACTCAGCAACAGCAAGCGGATGTAAAAGGCACTGGGCAGAAGCAAGCACGCTTGCCCAGACACCGCTCGCCACCTCGAGTAGATGTCGTGGACGTAGTCCGCGGGTCAGCCCTAGTCTCTTCCACAATGCAACGATCTTTGCGTGCCAGAAGGTCCTCTGTCTTGAAAGACTGGCCGGGCCCTCCGGGCCGCCCTGCGAGCCCCCGGGCCGCTCCGAGACGGCTCAGAGACGCCCGCGAGGGCGCCCGGACAGACCAAGAGGGACCCAACCGAGCCCCAGGTCGGCCCCAGAGGCCTCCAAGGCAGGTCAGGAGGCGCCCGAGGTGGCCAAGGAGGACCCCCAGGAGGGACCCAAGAGGCAAAAACTGCCCCATTCCCTTTCGGAAAACGTACATTTTGGAATGCTCGCTCTTTTCGTCTTCACCGCGTCCAAGACGGCTTCACAGGCCCCCAGCTGGCCCCAAGATGCCCCCAGAGCATTCCAGGAGGGCCCCCAAACGGCCCGAGGCGGCCCCGGGACAGCTCCCGAGGCGCCCCAGACGGCCCAAGACGCACCCAAGACAGCCCCAAGAGCAGTTTATAATAGCCCACGGGACGGCTCCGAGAGGCTCCAGGGGGCGCCAAGTTGGGAGCCCCAAGACAGCCCCAGGGGCTCCCAAGGCAGGCCAGGAGGCTCCCAAGATGGCCCAGGAGGGCCTCCAGGAGAGCCCCAAGAGTCCAAAATCGTCACATTCCCGACGGGAAACCCACATGTTCCTTATATCTTCTATACAGGCCCCCCCAGCTCGCCCCAAGACGCGCCCAGAGGCCCCCAGGAGGGCACACAAAAGGCCCCACACGGCCCCGGAACGGCTCCAGAGGCACCCGAGACGGCCCAAGACGCACCCAAGACAGCTTCAGAGCACCCCTGGGAGCCCCAGGACAGCCTCAGAGGCCTCCAAGGCCAGGAGGCTCCCAAGATGGCTTAGAAGGGCCTCCAGGAGAGCCCCAAGAGGCCGAGGTTTATTTGCCGACGCCCTGAGGCGGAGCAACCAACCCTCGCCCAGGACGTTCGTCGACTCGCCACGTCCACGGAATGCCAGTCCCTCTTTCGAATCTCCCCCCAGGCTCCAGATGGGGCACACAGACATCTCGCCCGGATCGTTCGTGGATCAATGACGCCCACGAAGAAGACTCCGTAACCTCGGAGGCCATTCTCCATGGTCCCGCGGTCGGCCCAAAAAAAGCCCCCCAAGACCACTCCTCGGCCCGCCACGTCGACGGAAAATAAACACCACGCTCGAGGTTTATTATCCGAGGTCCCAGGTGGGCAAAAGGGTTCTGGCTAGACGTCTTTCGTCAACCTGCGCTTTGGCGCTTACGCTGGAGGTCTGGGTTTCGTTTCTGCGGTGTTCCGTCTCTACCCTCCCAATGCATTACCCGGGGCGCGGCCACACCCACGGAAAATAACCCAGACTTGGAGGTTTATTTTCCGACGCCCCAGGGCGGAGCAATTAATCCTCGCCCAGGACGTTCGTCGGCTCGGAAGAATACCAGTACCAACTCTGAAGGTTTACCCCCAAGCTCTGGATGGGGCACAGACGTCTCGCACGGATCGTTCGTGGATCAACGACGCCCACGAAAAAGACTCCGTAACCTCGGATGCCATTCTCCAGGGTCCCGCGGTCAGCCGAGAAAACGCCCCCCAAGACCATCCTTCGGCCCGCCACGTCGACGGAAAATAAGCACCACGCTCGAGGTTTATTCTCCGAGGTCCCGGTTGGCAAAAGGGTTCTGGCTAGACGTCTTTCGCAAACCTGCGCTTCGGCGCCTACTCTGGAGGTCTGGGCTTCGTTTCTGCGGGGATGGAGGGTGAAGGAGAAACCAATACTGTGTCAGAGAAGGGCGCGCAGCGGCTCTACCCTCCAGCTCGGCGCACCCCTCACACGGCTCGGGGCTGCATACGGAGCGCTGTCCCGCCTCCGAGGGTGCGGGCACAAGGGCGCGAAGGTTACCGGGCCTCGCGCGGCGCAGCGCCGCGAGGTGTTTGGCACCACCCACCAAACCACCCCAACCCAACCCGAAGGCTCAGATTTGCCCTCGATTTCTGATGGGGAGGGGTCGGGAAACATCGAAAAAACACATGTGGAACCCTTACCCCCCCAACCCGAAATTCGGGTCTTCGGGTTGGGTTGGGGTGGTCTGGTAGGTAGTCAGTTTGGGTGGCACAGGATTTGGGCGTGCTTCCGAGAGGCGGCCCAGGCGATAGACGCAGAGAGGATGCCAGCCTGTGCCCATGCTCGGGCCAGACGTAATCGGCGGAGGCCGAGTTCGCACACAGACAGTTCGCCTTCAGGAGGGCTCCTCGCCGCCACGGCTGGACGCAGCAGACAACACTGGTGCGCTTCGACAGGGGGGGGGGGCCATGCACCGATTCTGACAGCTCCGCATGGAGCTCTTCGGCCTTTGTGGCGCTTACTCGGCGCTCCCTGCCGGATTTGGCCCAAAATCCATTTCCCCGAGCAGGAAAAAAACATTGAAAGTTCGTGTTTTTTGAAAGGTTTTTGCCGTTCTCGCCTTGAGGGCTTCCACACGATCCACGACGGCCCAAGACGTTCCCAAGACGCCTCCAAGACGGCCGAAGAGGCCCCCAAGAGAGCCCCAAGACGGGCCAAAGGGCCTCCAAGTCGGCTCAACGGGGGTCGTGCGTGCCAGAATGCCGCAGGATCAATGAAGTCAAAACCGCCCCCGGCTGGCCCCGGGCCGCCCAGGGACGCCCAGGGAGGCTCCAAGACACGCTAAGAGGGCCCCAAGAGGCCCAAGTCGGCCCGAGACGTCAGCCACAACGCTGAGGAACAGCGCGTGAGTGAAAGGTGGTCAGTGGCCGCAGGCTCCCTGGCATTGTTGAACGAGATGTGGGAGGCGATGTTGGGAGTCGGACGTTATCATAACTTTAGCGTTGTGATCATTGGGTGCCAGAAAGGACGAGCATTGGCAGCCGACGCAGGCGGTGCTCAGCGAGATGCGGGAGGCAGTGCTGGAGCCCAATACCATCACCAATTGTATCGCTGGGATCAGCGCGTGCTGGAAGGGCAATCAATGGCAGCAGGCTCCGTTGCTGCTCAGCGAGGCGTGGTAGGTGAAGTCGGACCCCGACATTGTCAGTTACAGCGCTGGGATCAGTGCGTACGACAAGAGCGAGTCATAGCAGCGTAGTTCGGCGCTGCTCGGCCAGATGTGCGAACGTTGGAGCCCAGCGTCATCTTTATCACCGCGACGGGATCAGCAGTTGAGGAGGCCAAGCAATCGCAGCAGGCCTTGTCGCTGATCTGCGCAACGTGGGAGGCAAAACTGTAGCCCGACGTCATCAGCTACAGCGCTGGGATCAGCGCGGGCTGGAAAGGCGACCAGCGGCAGCGCTCAGGGAGACGTGGAAGGCGGCACTGGAGACCGCCGTCGTCAACTACAACGCTGGGATTTGGGCTCTGACGGCTCTGACGTTACTCGGGGAGATGTGGGAGGCGAAGTTGAACCCGAGCGTCCTCAGCTACAGCGCTGGCATTGACGCGGGCTCTGTCGCTGCTCAGCGAGATGTAAAATACAAAGCTGGGGCCCAACATCAGCAGCTACAAAGCTGGAGTTAGCTTGTGCGGAAAAAAGCAAGTGGCAATAGGCGATGGCTCTGCTTTGAGCCCAGCATCAACAATAGGGACCGGCGAATGCGAGAAGGGCGGGAGGTGGCAGCGCGGTCTGGAGTTGCTCAGCGAGACGTGAGAGGCGAGGCTGGAGGTCAGCGTCATCAGCTACAACGCAGGGGCCAGCCCGTCCGAGAATGGCGCACACTGGCCGCTGGTTGTTGTGGCGCTGCCGAGCGAGATGTGGGAGGCGGAGCTGGAGCCCGACGTCATCTCTCTGGCGTTATCTCTCTGGGACGCCGAGCAGCCACAGCGGGCTCTGGAGATGCTCGGCCGCGGAGGCGAAGACGGAGCAGCTGAAGAAGCGTGCGTCCGCGTGACATCCGCGCCCACGTGGCACGTGGCAGGGCGAGCCGGCGCGTCCGAACGGCCCTTGAGTCCCGTGCCCGGAAGACATGCGGCGGGGCGCGCCAGGTTCCCCGGCCTCCCATTTTCTCATTCCCGTGTCTTCCCCCCCCCGCCCCTCCTGCCCCCCCCTCGCCTGCCCCCCCCTCGCCTGCCACCCTGCCCGGGGACAGCCTCGACGACGCACTCTCTTCTGGCTTCGGTCTCCCACCATGCACCATGCCAGCGTTTTGCCGAGTTCCCTCGCTTCTTGGCGTGGTCACTTTCTTCCCGCACGCCTGGGTCACATCATCACCTGCATCCGCGAACCTCCCCTTCCCCCTCGTCTGCCCCCCTGCCCTTCCCTCCCTCGGGAGGAGATACGGCAAGAACAGGAAATGATGACAGACGGGGATGTTGCCTCGTCATCCAGCGCCCTCCGACGCCGAGCTGGAAAACGACCGAATCGCCCAGGCCGCCCACCCCGTCTTGGAAAACGATCGAATCGCCCTGGCACGTGTACATGTACGCA